CCGTGATCTGCAAAATAGTATTACTCTTTGTATTGCTAATGATGGAGGACATGTGGAAACTTAAATAAAATTTCAATAAAACCTTAACAAATATAGATTTACTTCTTTCTAATCCTTTTTACAAATTATTTCTATCGCAAATACAAATAAAGTTATGTTTTAAAGTACACACAAACTTTATGGACACTCTGCATCTATTCTTGCTGTCACTTTAACTCCAGTAAAAGACACCAGCCGTTATCTAAACGAGTACGAATAATTATTAATTGGTTCTTTACGTTTGTATTAAAGCGATCAACGCATACCGCAGACAAGACCCTACACATTTCTCTCAACTTTGACCCAGAAAAGTTTAAATAAATATAAGACACGAGTAACCCCACCCAAATCCAGACGTAGGGGGGTGGAAGGGAATCGTTTGGAACAATAGCAATCATTGTGCCTGTCTTCTTTGTTTAGTGAGGGGATTATCAATCCATAAGAACGGGAGAAATGGCATATATGAACTCGGGTCAAATACCCAGCCCAATGTCTTCGCATTACTGGTCTTTCTACAGTTTGGCATGAAAGGTTTAGGAATCTCTTTTTTTTCGACATTTTATACCAGGAAAACGACTTACAAATATTTATACGAAAAGATACTAGAATTTTCTTGGTTCGATACTCTTCCCAAAACCGACCAAAAGACCAACCAATCAGAATTTATTTGGTAATTTCTTTTTGGCTGGACTGAGAACTTTTCAAAAGAACCTCGTCGAACCCGACCAACACTACGAAAAATGAACCTCCTAAGAAAGAACTCTTATACTCTTCGCTTGCGTCCATTTTGTTAAGTCTAGTAGTAGCCGTTCCGTTTTGTTTTTCTTTCTTCGACTGCAATGTCACTTTTCGATCGCTACAATTTTTCATTCGAGAAACGGTATCTAAAAGCTAACCAGGTCCTGATCCAAAGCGCAACGTTAAATAGGCAAAGGATACCTTTAAACAAAGAAGAAAATACTAGAAACTAAACTTTCACCAAAGGAATAAATACCTGAGCATTTTGTGGGACTCTTTTCCAGACTCTTGCTTTCCGTGTAAATTTGATCTTCAAAAATTTAAATGTAATATCAATTGTTATTGTTGGTCTTCTTAACTCTTGTTCATTTATTGTTCTCTCTCCTTAATAATGTCTTTCCTATCTTATTTCACACTCAGTAACACCTTAGGGATGCGACAAAGACTCTAATCTTTTGTTAACCTAGATAATATATTGAGTCTCTGCTTACTACGATTGGCTGAGTTTTCAAAGAATATTGGGCAAATCTGTGATAAATGGCTGAACTCAGTACAGAGTCATTATGATTAAACAAACTAACTCTTTAACCATTACCTTACATAGAGGCACCCTGAACCTCTATATTTATACTCTGTCCATCTAATTTTACTTTAATAATATGCAAAATCATAATATTCCAACAAGGCCATAGAAGAAGTTAACAATTACTTACAAGATTATATTGACTATATTTCCGAAATGAGGCATTGTAACTATTTACACCTAAATCATTCGGATTGTGGTACTCATCTTTATTGCCATATTCACGACGTTTCGACTATTGTACTCCCCGGTCTTCTTCAGGTGAAACATACATGGCCTAGTGGATAAAAGCGTTGGTTGAAGTAATCCAAAAAGTAATCCATCGAGACTTTCATAAGGATGTCATGTACGGCGTCAAACTCCGCTCAGAAATATCTAAACTGTCCGCTTCCTAGGGTCAATGATAAAAAAGGCTATGAGTGATTAAAGCATGAGTGTTTTGGAAAACATCCTTCCTTGAAGACTGCGGACTGGCTCTAGAGAACCATAAAGAACCGTACCAAATAATAGAAACCACATCACTTGAGGACTATATTTAGTCGTCTCCCCACGAGGGTGTCATGTGGCACAAGGCCTTTTTAACGTGGGCATTTCCGAGGCTCGGCTAAAAAATAGTCCATTGAACCCGTATAAACGGGTTCAGGGCCGGTTTTACCTCCCCGAAGGAGACTCCGCCCTTCGGCGTAGCCTCCTTCGGGTTCCTCCCGCCCGAAAGCAGAGAGTTGAACCGAACCGTCGCCCAAGACTTGAGCGACGGACTCAAGATTTTCCAAGCGTAGCTTAGATGTGGCACATGGCCGAAAGTATGGGGCATCCAGTCAGGATCGAACTCACTTTTCAGTAGTAACTGATCTAGCAAGACAAGCTTGCTAGCCATTACACCACGCTGAGGTGCCCATAGACACATCACTTGAGGACTACCAACAGCAGCAACAACTAAAATGGATTGCACATGTAACGCGAAGAGAAAATAATGACATAATCACGATGTCGGCATTCCACACTATTTCAAATAAAAGGTTAGGAAAGAATATGGAAAGAGCGATAACAGCTACTGGTCTTGAGAAACCTGTTTTAATAAAAAATGTTTTAAAAGAAAGATTTTATAAATTTCAACAGATAATATTACTGAATGCTCGGTCAATAAAGGCTGAATGGTTCTTTATAAGGAAACTTTTAATATTACCATTAGCATTACTCTTATATTCCGTGCTAATAGAAATATATACTTGAAAAACAGGTGGATAAAATAATAAGTAAAGGTTTATTGTACAAAACCAGTAGAATAAGAATAAAGGTAACAGTTATGCACGAAGTCGTCGCAAATCAATCCATTAGTGAGTGCTACTATTGGAAGGTCGGTATTTCTTGCGTAAGTCTGAGTTGTACTCAACAGATCCCAGCTAGTCGATATTTACAAGATCCCTTACGAGGTAGGAATTGGCACAAGGCCGAGTTTAATGTGGAGTAATCCGAGCCCGTAGGCTCAACCAAAAATTCCCGTAGACACCGTATAAAACGGGGTTGCTTAGCTATTTCCCGAAATGAGACTTTGCCCTTCGGCATAGCCTCGTCTTGGGATCCTCTCTGTTCAGAGGCAGAGAGTTTGACCAGCACAGCTGAAAAAGATTTCAACTAGATTATCTAAGAACTGTCCGACACAGTCACATGGGGCACAAGGCCGAATTTAATGCGGGATTCCTGAGGCCGTAAGCTCGGCCAAAAAATCCTCGTAGACCCTGCATAACGGATATCGGGTCGGTCTACCTCCCCGAACGAGCCTCTGCCCTTCGGCATAGCCTCGTCCGGGTTCCTCTCTACTCAGAGGCAAAGAGTTCGACCGTCTAGCCGAAAAAGATTTCAGCTAGTATATTTAGCTACCCCCCCACCACCACCACGCGGGGGTTGCATGTGGCACAAGGCCGGTTTAATGTGGGTTCTCCGAGCCCGTAGGCTCTGCCAAAAAATGCCCGTAGAACACGTATAGACTTAATTACTGGTCATAAAACACCGATCTAAAGCGATCGGCGTTATATGACAAGTAATTAAGTCTATATAAGGTCCAAATAAAAACCATTTAACTCTTCATGAAGAAGGCCGGAGCGTACAACGGTCGAAACGTTGTGATAAATATGGCGACAAAGATGAAGACAATAGTCCGAATAATGTAAATAATGTAAACCATTTAACGTTTGCTTTATTATTTGAGTGTTTTGATCACGATCATCGAGACATATTGTGTCACATTAGTTCTCTGAACTGATTGAACCTGATTGTTTTTCATTCGATTAATTTTCTGAAAATCGATCCAAGAAAACAGAATTCTATTGAAAAGAAAAGAAAACATGGGTAAAATGTTAATTAGAAGCAATTATCCATTTTTATATAATAAAAACACGAGTTGAATAAGATTCCCGTCGTAATATTCCCTTAAAAGCTCTTCGATAAGCACTGGTGACACTATAGACAAAGAAATTCATGCAATAGTTTATTTTAAAGATGCCTTTTCCAAATTTAGAGATGATGTCAATCACGTCTTCCTCCCAGCAGAATTGTTCGCAGACCCTGATTGCAAAATATGGCAACCAAATAAAAATGAATAATCCCAGCAGTAGAGTACGTCTTTTACTTTTCTGTATCTTATATTTGGCCTCGGGACTATTATCCTCCTTGGGGTGGATTATCCGCAGATGCCTTATAGTCGCGCGAACTACGCTAATGTAGAGGAAAAAAAACAAAATAAACTCAAGCATATTATAGACAAACCACATGTAATAAATATATTGATTAACCCTTTTTGATATTTCACAAACACGGGCTCTATGTGAGAAGGAGGAGCCATTTTGATGCATTTTATCCCAGTTAGTGTTTGTTGTAAGAACGGAAATTAAACTCAATGTTATGTTTGAAAGCCAAGAATATAAGATGGCGCCCGTGATGCTTTTCTTTGTAACAAGAGTCTCGTAGCGAAATGGAAAATGTACAGAGAGGTAACGTTCGACTGCAATAAGCAATGCATTCGTCAGCGATATGGAAAGGCCACTACGACTAAAGATGTTGTACGAGTCAGTGAGTGCTTTTTGAGAAACGCTACAAAACGGAGGCCATGAAATAATATCGAAAAGAATTACTGCAGTGCCGAAAATGAGATCACTGAAAGCAATGTTAGCAACCATGACATACGAACGTGTTTGTAGGTGAGAGAACCGCAGGGTGCAGACGACCAATAAAAGGTTTCCCGCAAAAACAGGAACGATGAGGAGAGAATCCATAACGAGGACGAACGTGTGAAAAATCTCGTCTTCAGATAGTGAACTCTCGTTTGTAGGAGGAGTTGATAAAATATTCGTTGAAATTTCCATGCTGATTTCAAATTTTAAAATGCTTTTGTAGTTATATGTAAATGACTGCCTAATTAGCATAGCTAAAGCACAGACTATATAAATACACAAGCAGTAACGGTAGAGTAGCTCTCAGTATACGAGATAAACGACTACTGCTGGACTTCATTACAGTTGTATTGCTTTCAAATTTTACAGTTCCTTTTTGAAGGATGATTTAATTATTTTCAATGAACCTCATTCTACCAATATATAATTTGTTTCTTGCATTTATTATTTTAGAATTAATGTTCATCAACTGAGTTGTTCCATATTAACTGTCACATAGATAGATAGATAGATAGATAGATAGATAGATAGATAGATGTTAACTACTTTTTATAAGGATGTAGATGTTTACTGAGACTATCTTTGGAAGATTACCATGACATCCAGAAGATCTAAATAACCGTGAAATGATTAGTCAAAGTAAAATATCTAAAACTCAAAAGTTTAGATTTGCATTGAAAACTCGTTACTGTTAATCTTCGTACCCGAAATGAGCTTTTAGGCGCAATCTATTTTACAGTTCATTTACAACGGTCGAATTCCCATTTTATCATTAAATTTTAATTAACCGGCAAAATCTATAATTACAGTTGCTTCCTGAGTGTCTTTTTCTTACTCATTATGCAAATAATTCATTTACTTTAACTAGTCTGGCACAAGACTATCGTATGGGCGCAGCCAATGAAGTTAGAATCCAGTAGATATGACTTGAAATTTACAAATAATCGTTTCATCATCGGTTTCTAGTTTGAAGTCTCGTTTGAAATCTCGTTTTAAGTCTCGTTTTCAATTCTTCCATTTTAATCATGACGTTCGTTTTAGTTTGACTCTTTCCCGATTTTGTATATCCTGGCATCTATTCTCATCGGACAAACTTCAACAAGGGAACATTTTTAATTGCTCCGCAAGATTTCCCCGTTTCTTCGACTTCAGAAAATGGTCCGATCATCAGCGCAAAAGTTCGCGTTTGTTTTGAAGATGCTTTTTACTATAAAACAAAAGAGCGAGAAAGAAAATGATTATATACAAAGTTTGAGATAATAAAAAAAGGGGAGACCTCAGAAGATTATTCATATAGAAATAGATATAAATTAGGATATATATTAGAGAAGACACGAATACAAAGGCATGTGTTCAGAAATATAGGATGCGATGTGTAAATTGTCGCCATTTTTATTTATAATTTTGCTCATGCGCGTTGTTTATTTTTGATTTTGTCGACTGTACAGTATATTAGGGTCAGTTGGGCACCGTCTGTGAGAAAAGGAGCCACATGACGCGGTTCACTCTGCCAGAAATTTGGAAACGGCATGCTGTACTGCTTGGCATTCGCAACGGAAGCTCCAATACGAACATTTCAGGGTGTTTGGGTGTCAATCTGTGGACAGTGCTGAGGATTCAGAAAGAGTTGGCAGAGTCTAATGCTGATTACAATGATATGGCAGCTCGGAAAATTCACACTGATCGCCCTGACAAGAAAAGAACTCCCTAATCAAGTGCATTGAGGAGGTAGTTCTGCCCTGGTTCAAGAGGGTGGCTGCTGGAAGAAACTATGTCTGGCAACAGAACTTTGTCCCATGCCTCACAAGCAGAAGAACCTAAACTGTAACCGCCTTGATTATTAAGTGTGAAGCGCTGTTGAGCAAGAGACCAACAAAACTGCTTGTAGCACCAAAGATGAACTAAAGGCGGAGATTATGACAGCATTCACCAATTTAAACAAGGAGACCGTCCAAAAGAGTTGCAGGAGATTCCGTAGTTGTCTGGAGCCAGTGGTGATTTTATTGAATAAATTTACTCTTAAGTGTTTGAAGATATTTTTGTGTAATTTTGGTAAATATATCTGTTAAAATGAGGTGTCAGTGTTATTTTCATTTTTGCGTCATTTAGACGACAATTTATCCATCGCACCCTTTATATGTTTGTAAAAAGAAAACATTTAAACATTGCATTTGATTAAAAAGATATGAATAACTAGATATGAATAAATAAAAATGAATAGATTATTTCATATACAAACCCACTTTTACATTTTAAAAAAAGCCGAAATTATTAAATTCCTTTGTCATAGATCATCTGGAAGAAATAAGTTGTCTGGTGATTCAATAAAATTAATCAAAACGTAAACTTTTGTAACATACAACCTTAAGGTAATAATTACAGAAAATAACATTAGTATAGATACTAGTTAAACATCTTGATAAATGTTAATTAAATTTCATGCTTTCTTTAACACCTAAATATAACGAATATTTAGCTATCAACTCCTCCTCCAAACGAGAGTTCGTCCTCGTTTTGGATTCTCCCCCCTCCTCGTTTCTGTTTCCGCGGGAAACCTTTTGTTAGTTGTCGTCAATGGTGCATTATGGACAATAAGTTCTATTGTATTATCTTAATGGTTACTGTGTGGGCGATGACAGTTTTGTTTAAAATTATTCTATAAGCTCCGAGTAGGAATAATTGTAGATCCGAATGCAATTATTTGGAGCTATTTTATAATATTGTTAAACTTTTACTCGTTATTTATTATTGATTACTTAATTGTTTATTATTGATTACTTAATTGTTTATTGTTGATTACTTAATTGTTTATTATTGATTATTTAATTGTTTGTTATTGATTACGTAATTGTTTATTGATTACTTAATTCTTTATTGTTGATTACTTAATTGTTTATTGTTGATTACTTAATTGTTTATTATTGATTACTTAATTGTTTAATATTGATTACTTGAATCTTTATTGTTGATTACTTAATTGTTTATTATTGATTATTTAATTGTTTATTATTGATTATTTAATTGTTTGTTATTGATTACTTAATTGTTTATTATTGATTACTTAATTCTTTATTGTTGATTACTTAATTCTTTATTATTGATTACTTGATTGTTTATTATTGATTACTTGAATCTTTATTGTTGATTACTTAATTCTTTATTATTGATTACTTAATTGTTTATTATTGATTACTTAATTCTTTATTGTTGATTACTTAATTCTTTATTGTTGATTATAATTACATTTAATTATGTTTGTGCATTTTTAGTTTGTTAATTTGTTTATTAAGTGTTTAGTCGTCTGTCAGTGGCAAGGCGAGTGGCCTGAGGGGAGAGATATCTGAGAGTGTCTGCCACTGAGTTGCTCCAGCTTTTTCTTAGTCTGCCTCTCGCTTTCCATCCAGAGTACCTGAGGGTGTCTGCTCGTAGGGCATACAAGTGAGGTGTCCGAACAAATTGATCCTCTGTGCTTCGATGTGTTGTATAATTGGTATTGCTCCTACCATATCTCTTATTGCCTCATTCCTGATCTTGTCTCGCCTCATCTTGTTCAATGCTTTCCTCAGGCATTTCATCTCACAAGTGATCAGTTTCCTTTGTGATATTTATTTATTCAATTTTTTTGGTTATTTAATTTATTTATTCATTTTTTTTTTCTCAGTCGCTGATTATCTTATTTGTTTAGTTTTAGTGGCTTCGTCTAAATTGTGTGGCATTACCTGCATTGTACATAGGTTATATAGTTGCATTTATCAAGTTGGTATTTTACAAGGTATTCCTGTTTAGTTTTCGATTTTTAATTAATATAGTAAAAATTTGTTTCTGCGTCTGTAGTTTGAGATAAGGTCTGATTTATTTATTAATCTCTGTTCCTCTGGGGGCGGGGGTTATAGTTATTTTCTCCGCCATAAAATGTTTCACGGACTGTTGCCGCTTTTTTTGACCCCAGTGTTCACTTTTATATTTACATACATACGCTCTATCTTTGATAAGTCCTGGGTCTGACGGTAAACTACATCCGGCAGCAAGGCCTCCGATTAGGAAATTGGAGATTTTGGGAAGCGTGGAACCACCTCTTAATTTCTGTTGTTCGCAGGTCCACCCTGACCCGAGGTGGTAGCGCTTGTTAGGGTCCCAGCTATGGGAAAATAGTTAACTCCCAAACAAAAACAAAACACTGCGAAAATATAAAAATTACATTTGTATAGTAAAAATACGAGCAATATATTTTTACATAAAAAAATGCAAGCAATACCTTTTTTTTTTTTTGCAAAATTACCAACAATACCTATTTATAAGAAAATTACCAACAATACATTTTATCTTTAGTTGAAGTGATACAACTGCGTTCAAAATATATTTAGTTGGAGCCATAAAATTGTGTTTAGAATATTTAGATTGCGGCAGAGATGATATGCCACCAAACAAAATCAACCAACGAATTTTATCTCTGATATTGAGCACTTTTACCCATACAGATAGCATACATTAAAACTATATTTTTATCATATTTAGCTACTGATAAACACAGTAGAGTATTTTCGCTACATTTATAAAATATCATGAACACTGAAAAATTTGGCATCGATTACTCCTTATAAAAACACATCTCACCGCATTTACCTGCAAACAAAAACGAATAGAAAAGCCCATTTCTTCATAAACCAAACGCCGCACTCAAACAAGGTAAAAAGGAAAGTAGGAAGAAAAGACTATTTACGAAGACAAAACGCATGGCTGTCAGCAAAAAATTAAAACCAAATAACAACAAAAATGAGCTGCATATTTACCATAAAAAGCATTAAGATACTCTATTGAGAATCTAAAACAGAAGGAAATGTGTTCAATTACAAGCAGCCAGATAAATTCCTGCTCCCTTGATAGCAAGTGTTTGAATGATAACATAATATATATAGCTTCTGCGAAATTAGAATGCGTCATGAACCAATATTGTATTGCTTCGACAGAGAGATCTTTTAAGCAAGATATTATAATCACAAGATATCAAAGGATAAATAAAGTGTAAATATGAAAAGAAAATAACCATGTCAACGTAGAGGTTGCCTTCAAACAGTTGACATCATTTTGTCAACTTAAATAATCTCAAATTTGAACAAAATGCGTAAAACTAAGTTGTCTGTCTCAACAAAAATCTACCAGGAAGATGGATCGAGCGTGCCAGTGATAATGACAATGTGCTATTAAAATGGCCACCACATTCACCTGACTTGATTTTTTTCCTATGGGGCTATGTGAAAGGACAAGTCTATATCCCCCTCTTCCTACAAGCCTAGAGGAACTTAAGCAGAGAATCACTGAAGCGTTGTAGTATGTTACGTAAGACATACTACAGCGTGTCTTGTCGCAAGTGGTGCACAGATTGAATATTTGTGACGCTTTGGGAAATTGGTTATAAAATGTACATCCCTTTGAATATCTTGTTCGAATTTTGATAAATAAATGTGTTATTATCCAACATGAAGCATGTTTAATTCGTTTGTCTGGGACATGTAGTTAGTCAGATATTCACATTTTAAATTTTTGG